CACTTCTCTTGTCCTTTTGTTGTTATCCCTCCTCACTATATCTAGAGACAGCACTAAGTTAAATTCAAACTAAGTTTGTCACAATTGGGGGCGTGACTGGAGTTACTGTGGACTCTCAACATCATATCTCAGAAATCAGTGGGTAAATGTACAGGTGAACGATTAAATTAAACATCAAGGATCAATTAGAAAAAGCGTCATTGGTATTATGAAATAAGTGGAGCGAAGCATCAACAAAATAAAGCGTAGATACATTAATGACGACAAAGAAATGTCCACCAGGTTTATTGCACTCTAATGGTGATCGTTTATTTTGTGTGCCATGCTGTGGTGTAGCTGAAGGTATGCACAAGTACCTGGTGTACATCCACCTGCACTTCTGGAGCTGTACTGGGGATGGACAGTATACCCACCTGTTAGCCTAACTTGCCCAATACATATGAGTTTTGGAGTTACAGTATGTCCACCTCCTTAGACAGTATATTCACCTAGTAGTCGTATTAACATTAATACATATGGGCTTTGGAGTTACAGTATACCTACCTCCTCAGACAGTATGCTCATCAGTTAGCCTTATTACCATTGATGCCTATGGGCTATGGAATTACAGTGTGCATACTAACCCCAAACAGTATTATCTCCACTTCAGTTACCACTACAGAACAAACAACATGTAATTTATCATTATAAAACACCAAGAAAACAACAACAGGACACTTATTATTTGAAGAATGCATTTATCATGTTTGACATTTCCTTGGAACAATGGATAATAAACCACATTTTTAAAGTAGATGCTGTGGTTTCAATTAAATGTGAATGATCTGAAAATGCATTGTTATTGATATATGCAACGCATATTTTCTCAGAATCCAGGTATGTTAGGTATACAGTATTTCAGTACATAGTAATATTAGCCTGTATTTTATGAGGATCTGAAGGTACTTCCTCAAGACAGCAATCCAAAGCACATATAACCTACATTATATTAAATATTAACAATTTGTTCCTTAATTTATTCTCTTGTTATCTTTTTTATTAGAAAGTCATCAAACTATTACTTATGATTGTTTTCACATTAAGACAGCAATTTAATGAAAATAATGTTCACCCATTTCTCTGAGTCAGGCCCAAGGAACAGATGTATTAACCTACATTTATGTGTTTATTAAAAGTGTGCAATGGTGCTATTCTGATTCATATGTCTCCATGGAAACAAAACAGGGCTAAGACAAGGGAGTTTCTAATCTACATGCAAGATACTGAAATCACGAAAGTTTAAATCATTGGTGAAAAGATAAGGTCCTTAGGTTGTAAGAGAAGGAAAAGGAGACTAGACTCTTGAATTGAACTGGCCAGTAAAACAGCTGCACAGTGTTGCCTTTGGAAGAGCAAGCCTTACAACACTGTGACTGTGTTTGGCAGGTTTTTTTGTGAAGTGCAGGTGTACTGAAGCTGGAAACACACATTGTCAATGGAAAACACAAGGACTGCATCATACAGCTGGAACACAGAATTTCAAGTGTATGAAGGTGTCCTGTGCTCCAGTGTCATATCCTATCCCCGCTAGAGCCAACAGCAGCCTCTCCCCCGGTGGGCTAGCTGACAGCACAGCATAGCAGCACCCAGGGAAGGATGATTTCAGTCTGCAGGGTATTTTCCACTTTACCGCACAAAACAAGGCACTATTCCGGAATATGGGATGCATCTCTGCAACAAAAGTTAGTTTGTTGTGGCTGTGTCACCCCTCAGCTCAGCCCTAAAACATTTCCTGCTTGTGCTAATGGCCAATGCTTCAAAACAACCCCCTCAACAGCTGCAGAGGTTTTTGTTTGAAGGCTTGGAATTTCTCATGAGTACAGGCAGCAAATATCATGAAGCATGTCTGGTGAATGATTATACAAGTCCCTCTAAACATTCCCACAGCACTATTTAAGAGTTTAAATAGTTGAAAAAGGCGACAAGTTATCAAGTGCAGTATTTTTAAATGTAAACGAGCTTTTTATTCATTTTAAACATTCAGCAAAATGGGTTTATAATAAAAATTAAAATAATATGAGAGATCAAAAACACACTTTGTTGACTGCTCTCTCAAGAGTCATTAAAATCACAAGGTATTGTGAATGGCTGTGCTTGTAGATTGATTTATCTCTTAATTTCCATTCTCCCTAATTTGCGAGGCCCTATCGTAAGCCTGCCCCACTGCCGTGAATAACTTTCTCTGTGATTTGGGAGGGTTTGTACTGTACTCTTCATCCTCCAAAAACATGCAGTCAGAGTGCTTTCCCCCCTGTTCTCCAACAGCTGAGCATCGCAGGTCCAGTGCCTGGGCATTGTGCAACCTAAGACAGTGCCGGCGACCTGTGAGTCAGGGTATACACTGTCAGACTTCCTTCCTGCCCTAGCGGAGAAGATTTACTCCTGTCTGCTGTACTAAGAGGATAGTCCCCCTAGGAGCACATTTTATAGTTACATTAGCATAGCACAAACTACTGTAACGATTCACATAGTAAAAATGGATGCAGTCCCCCATGCTGACAGCATGGTAATGGAGTTATGTCATTCAGGATGTATTGCTAAATTAGCCTAAATCCATGCTCATGGCGCTTAAAAAAAGTCTGTGTTCTTCAAAGCTTCTCCATTTGGTTATGTAATTGTGAAGAAACTGTGTAAGTATCGTATCCTAAGAAAGAGGCTAACTGAGTTCTGTAAGTTAGCTATCAGCTGTCACTTCAAAGGTTTTTCTGTGGAAAGAGGGGTTTCTGATCCATGTGGAGGAAGAACAGCAGCCAGTTTTCATGCCGCTTAAATCTGCGTCTGGTCTCCTAATAAATGAAGTCCCATTATGTTGTTTATATCACTGCTCTCACGTTTCTGGTATCTAGGAAACAGAGTTCCATAACAGCTGGTCTATAAAGATGACCTGTGTGTGAGGCATGGAGGAATAGGGCAGAAAGGGGTAAACAGAGTCACTTTTTATATCTCATGATCTTATGGCAAAGCAAATGTGAATGTATACTTATGCTTGTTATGTATACTTAAGCTTATTGTCCATCCATAGAAATTAAAACATTGCTTTTAAACTAATACAGTTTTAGAGGTATGAGCCATCAAAAAAAGTTGGTCCTTTGGCACAACTTGCCCCCAGTCAGGGGCAAATTGAGCATGGGGGTGGGGTAAAAAGTGCCACACCTACTTAACTACATATTGAATGCAATAAAGACACACCATGTTTGAGAAATAATACATTTTATAAATTTAAACAATGGAACGAAGGTTTTCTGTGCCTGGTGATGCAAATAGGTTCAGCTGTCAGATGTTGACATTATATCATATGAGGCAAATTCGCTGTGTATGCTGCTACTGTGTGTGAATGTGTGAGAGTGTTAGTTGGTGGTTGTGTGTGCTCAGGAGAGAGAGAGAGCGTGTGTGTGTGTGTGCTTGTGTGTGCTTGTGTGTGGCTACACTCAGGTGGAAGTATTATGATTGTGTTTTATCTTCAAGTTTTGGCACTATGGCTCACTCCACATTTCACTTTTCAAATGTGCCCTATGCTTGGTAAGCCAACTTTCCCACTAAAACCAATGGATGAAGGATCCTTCCCAAGAAAAGATGCTGTGAAAAAACTGCCAAAATCCCCTCTCTGTTGCTGGAACAGCAACCGCAGAGAATCAATTGACTTCCCATGCAGTCTCGGAAAGCGGAATGTGACGTGAGCCATTGGGTCAATTTGCTCCAAGGTTGGTGGCACATTTTACCCCATAACCTCCATTTTGACAAAACTGCTTGACGCAATTATGCTAACTCATGTTTGTGCTAAATTTATGGCCTCAATTTCTAGCTTGTACAGTGAGGAATGAATATGTAATGTCCCAAATGTATTTATTTCTGTTGGTGTACAACATTCATAGTATTTTAATCATGATGAATTCACTTTGCTTGACAAAAATCATGTTTTTTTTAATTTGTGAATGGGTGCCTAGATACAGGGGGTGGCTCATTTTACCCACTGGCATGATTTACCCCATTCTCCCCAACAGCTTTACTGCAGCTTCGGGTCTCCTGTCTTATTATAGGACAGTGTGGAGAAAAGACATACATACATACATACATACATACATACATACATACATACATACATACATACAGACAGACAAACAGACAGACAGACTGACAGTATTTTTGCACTTCAGCCCTGAGCTATGCACTTGTGTTTGTAAACCACTCAGGATACTAGTGCCTGCTAAATGCCTTTAATGCAAATACCATGTATAACTGATATTTTGAACAACAGACATCATTATTAATGAGTTTACATGTGTGCAGATTAATTTCAGTACTAATTACCAGTATGTTTCTGCTATGAATGCTGTCTTAAAACCAACACTATAATTAATATGTGAGTTTCTGATGAAAAATGTTCATTGGTAATCACTCCACATTATCATTGGTAGATTTGGCATTCATTGACCGGCACGTGCTCTGGCTCCAGGACTGCACTGCAATCAGGCTAAAAGCAAAGCATCGCTAATGCCGTGCTAATACCTCCTCTGCATCACGGATCCCATTGATAAACCCAGGCAGATCCCGTGCAGCGTTTGGTGTCCTTTTCTGGCCTTGCCAGGAGCTAATCTCCTTCCTGTGCCATCTGATTCCCAAAGAAGGGTGGGCGCCACCCCATCATCAGGATGGATGACCTTTGACCTTACCTCCCACACACCTCATGGCCCTGCTAGGGAAATATGGAGCATGGTTGGAAATGTTGTTGAGTGGATGTTTTTTTTCTTGAATGGACTCAGAGCACGCTCACAGAGCAGCAGACTGCCAGGGTTTTATAACATCGAGCACTGCTGACCACTCCATCTGGTGTTTTGATGGCCAATCTGATTCAAATCCGATATTTTTTGCTCTCCAGCTCAATTTTAATTAGAGGCAGATGTTGCAGCACACTTCCACTGAACCAAAAAAAAGCAATATGGAAGTTTCTCTGTGTCCATCCGGCCTGTAGTCTAGTGGCTAAGATACATGACTGGGACCCTTGAGATTGGTGGTTCAAAACCCGTGTAGCCACAGCACCATTGCTGTTTGGTCCTTGAGCAAGGCCCTCAAACCCACATTACTCCCAGGGGGATTGGCCCTTTGCCTAATCAACTGTAAGTCACTTTGGATAATAAGTGTCAGCTAAATAACTATAATGTAACAAGGGATAGCCAGACAAGGCCATCTGGACAGGAGCAGAAACAGCTGTACAGCTCAATGATGTGTGATATTCCTCAAAGCATCAAGGATGATGATAGGAACAATGGGCAATAATAACTAATATTCTGCTCAAATTTTCTTACATTTCTTCTTTAGAGAAGCACATGGAAAAAAAAACAATGTTGGATCTATGAAACGTGTCATCACCTGATTCTGTGCTTTCCCATGAGCCCCTGATTGCTGGCGGCCCTTAAATTTGACTCATGCCTGTTACTATCAGATAAAGGAAGTTTAATAGTTTAATTCCAGTGTTGTATTATGGTTTATTATAAGTCTTCATTGTAGCAACGTGAACTGTTTTATAATGTAAACAGTTTATATCAATGACTTCAGGACTTTATACTTCCATAAAATAAGTGCTAATCAATCAGGCCAATGCATAGTACCTAGCACACAAAGTTTGTTCATTCAGATGCAGAAATACTGGCCTTCATGTGGCTCCTGTAGAAGAAGAAACTGATGAGAAACTTGCTGAGAGTCCTATTAGGATCACATCACCGACTCGCTCCAAACACAGTTATTTCAGTTATATTCTGTTTCTTTGAGCTGGCATGCACTACAGGCCTGATTTTCTAAAGCATTTAGTACATGCATAACTGTTTTGCAGATTGCAAAAGCCTGAGACAGGATGTGATTGGTTGAGTTAGTTTGTGCTCTAATCACAAATGATGTCACTGAAATAGCAAAATTTTAGCATGTTCAAAAGGCTTTGATAAATTTGGCACTGTGGTATAAACTATGCACGGCTGAGCAGTCCCTCTCTGAGCAGGAAGTTTAAAAGACTATTTGATTGAAAGGGGAACATTTAAAAGAGTTGGCAGACATTTTGAGCTAACTGTGGTAGGTTTTGTTTGCACATTTGTTTTTAATAATAAGAGTCATGTGAAGGGGCCTTGCAGACAGGTTCACAAGGACACTTTGGGAACACCTGCTCACCTCGTCCTCCAGCAGACTTTTCAAGTTTTGTAGCCCGGCCATTGCGTGCATCATATTTGTTATCATCTCATGTTCCAATACTTGAGCAAAGAAGAAGAAAATGGTGGTGCTAAAAAAGGCCTGGAGGCAATGCTGGTCAGCCCTTCATGTCAGACATCTTCTTCTCATCCAGTTAGAAGGAATGGTAGATGGGTCATGTTTTGCTCCTGCCTTATTTTTGTTAGATTTAAGGACACACATTTATACCCAAACAACACACACAATGATTGGCTCAGCCTCACCAGGGAAACATAAGGTTGAGGCCGGTTAGGGCTGGTGGGGCACATACAATGGCATGCAGCCTGACTGTGTGAGTTCAGTAGGCCTGTATCCTGTCTGTATGAGTTTAATAGGCCTGTATTCTGACTGTGTGACCTGAGTAGGCTTGTATCCTGAATGTGTGAGTTCAGTAGGCCTGTGTCCTGACTATATGAGTTAGTTAGGTCTGTTTCCTGAATATATGTGTTGAGTAGGCCTGCATCCTAACTGTATGAGTTTAGTTGGCCTGTATCCTGACTGTATGAGTTCAGTAGGCCTGTATCCTGTCTGTATGAGTTGAGTAGGCCTGCAGTGTAGCCTGACTATATGAGTTTAGTAGACCTGTAGCCAGACTGTATGAGTTGAGTAGGCCTGTATTCTGACTGTATGAGTTTTGTAGGCCTGTAGCCTGACTGTATGAGTTGAGTAGGCCTGTATCCTGAATATATGTGTTGAGTAGGCCTGCATCCTAACTGTATGAGTAGGCCTGTAGACTGACTGTATGAGCTGAGTAGGTCTGTATCCTGAATATATGTGTTGAGTACGCCTGCATCCTAACTGTATGAGTGGGCTTGTAGACTGACTGTATGAGTTGAGTAGGCCTGTTTCCAGGTTGTTTGTTCCTCTAACTGCATAAGCCAATGCCATTGGCTGTCACAAATCTCTGACCTCCTCTTTAAAAATACAGAATAATATTACAGGATACACTTGACTTTAAAGGACACAGACAAACAATGTGCAATACTTTTTAATCTAAGTAGCATTGGCTTATTCTGGATAGAAAAACACAAAGAGACATAAAACATGTGAGAGCCTGACCCACTGAGATAAACTGTATTGTCAGAGACATTGTCTTCTTAAAATAATATTTTGGCATACACACACGGTGAAAATACTCAGATACACACTGTTCAATACTGTTTGTCCTGTCTGTTCAAGTAACCTTGGTGTGCTTCAGATAATAAAATTCTTGATAGCAAGATCAAATTTAGATATCAGGACAAACAGTACTGTCTTTGGGGCTGAACATTTTGAAGTAACTTACATAAGGTCTCCTCTGTTTTAACACTTAGTTATTTGCCTCTCAAATTTGATGCATAATGGAACTGTAATTTTGGAAATAACTGAATCTGATATGATCTTTGGCAGAGGAAAAGTCAAGTTGCAGAAACTTGCTTGAGCGTTGGAAGAAACGTGGAGGCAAATTTTACAAGATTATTTTAACAACATTACTTGAAAGTCTCCCTGAAAGGACTGGAGCGGTTTGGAAGGGACAGGGGGGCATTAGATATAATTCAAAAGAGCACTGTTTTGTATTCATTTTAAACTCTTGCCATTTCCAGACATTTTGTATGTTATTATGCAAAGCTTTGATAGAGGTACAGTGGGGCATAAAAGTATTTAGTCAGCCACCAATTGTGCAAGTTATCATAGGTACACTTCAACTATGAGAGACAGAATGAGAAAAAAATCCAGAAAAATCACATTCTGATTTTTAAAGAATTTATTTGCAAATTCTGGTGGAAAATAAAGTATTTGGTCAATAACAAAAGTTAATCTCAATACTTTGTTATAGACGCTTTGTTGGCAATGACAGAGGTCAAACATTTTCTGTCAGTCTTCACAAGGTTTTCACACACCGTTGCTGGTATTTTGGCCCATTCCTGCATGCAGATCTCCTCTAGAGCAGTGATGTTTTGGGGCTGTCTCTGGGTAACACAGACTTTCAACTCCCTCCAAAGATTTATGGGGTTGAGATCTGGAGACTGGCTAGGCCACTCCAGGACCTTGAAATGCTTCTTACGAAGCCACTCCTTTGTTGCCAGGGCGGTGCGTTTGGGATCATTGTCATGCTGAAAGACCCAGCCACATTTCATCTTCAATGCCCTTGCTGATGGAAGGAGGTTTTCACTCAAAGTCTCATGATACATGACCCCATTCATTCTTTCCTTTACACGAAACAGTCGTCCTAGTCCCTTTGCAGAAAAACAGCCCCAAAGCATGTTGTTTCCACCCCCGTGCTTCACAGTAGGTATGATGTTCTTTGGATGCAACTCAGTATTCTTTCTCCTCCAAAAATGACAAGTTGAGTTTTTACCAAAAAGTTCTATTTTGGCATCATCTGACCATATGACATTGTCCCAAATCCTCTTCTGGATCATCCAAATGCTCTCTAGCAAACTTCAGACGGGCCTGGACATGTACTGGCTTAATCAGGGGGACACGTCTGGCACTGCAGGATTTGAGTCCCTGGCGGCATAGTGCGTTACTGATGGTAGCCTTTGTTACTGTGGTCCCAGCTCTCTGCAGGTCATTCACTAGGTCCCCCCCGCGTGGTTCTGGGATTTTTGCTCACCGTTCTTGTGATCATTTTGACCCCATGGTGTGAGATCTTGCATGGAGCTCCAGATCAAAGGAGATTATCAGTGGTCTTGTATGTCTTCCATTCTCTAATAATTGCTCCCACAGTTGATTTCTTCACACCAAGCTGCTTACCTATTGCAGATTCAGTTTTCCCAGCCTGGTACAGGTCTACAATTTTGCTTCTGGTGTCCTTTGACAGCTCTTTGGTCGTGGAGTTAGTGAAGTTTGGAGTGTGACTGTTTGAGGTTGTGGACAGGTGTCTTTTATACTGATAACGAGTTCAAACAGGTGCCATTAATCCAGGTAACGAGTGGAGGACAGAGGAGCCTCTTAAAGAAGAAGTTATAGGTCTGTGAAAGCCAGAAACCTTGATTGTTTGTAGGTGACCAAATACTTGTTTTACAGAGGAATTTACCAATTAATTCATTAAAAATCCTACAATGTCATTTCCTGGATTCTTTCCCCCCATTCTGTCTCTCATAGTTGAAGTGTACCTATGATGAAAATTACAGGCCTCTCATCTTTTTAAGTGGGAGAACTTGCACAATTGGTGGCTGACTAAATACTTTTTTGCCCCACTGTATGTCCATGTGTTTAGTTCTTACAAATAGTTTACTGCAGATACACAAAGCACTACAAGCGATATGTGCATATTTCATATACAGAAATTGCATATATCAGCAGCAGCAGCAAACATATCAGAGGGTGAAAACCTCCAGTTCAGCTATTCTTAACCTTGCAGGTCTATGGAAGACTCTTGTAATATCTACAACATAACACCACTGAACATGTGTTAATATATAGAAAGTGCAAGTCACAGCTGTTGGGATTGAGGGGCTTTCCTGGGAATGGGGTCTCTAGTTTCAGGGTTATGTAATTGCACAGACCTGTGCTGGCTGGAGAGATGGATGATGTACTCATGACTGTGGACCCTGCAGTCTTTTTGGTTTCACTTCTTCCGAGCCTTAGTGCCCCTCTGACCAGGACAGTACATTCATCATTCTTCTGATACTCCTTGGCAGCTGAGATGGTCTTTCTACAACTATTTTGAGTAGGTTCATCTCCTATACCAAACATTACAAGAAATTTCCAAATATCAAAATAATAATTATTACAACAACAACAACACAGGTCTCATTTTTACAATTAAACTTAGAATTTGAAAGTCATATTTAAAAGGCACCCTGGGCCTTAAACTCAAAAATTTAGCTAAA